CTTTGGCAAGGTGCAGCAGGAAGTCAAAAAACGCAGGAAGACAAAGAAGCCTGACGACGACCCTGTCGTGAATGGTGATCAACGACCTGCACCCAAGGCTGTGAATAAGAGGAAAGCCAATCCTGATGTCGAGTTGAAATCTGCCCTGAGTGCTGCGGAGTCTTGCATTTCAGCTCTTGGTGCGGTGCAGCCTCTCCAGGTTTGGACAGGGGCAATCAAAGTCAAAGAGGTGGACAAGCGCTTGGATGTGGCCTACCACTGCCAGGTCAGTTTGGAGGAGCGCATGCTGACAGACGCTGCCGCTCAGGAGGCTGGGAAAAAGATTGCTGACCTGGCCCAGAATGTCACCGAGTTCATGGATTGCATGGTGCCTTTCATGGATGTTGAAGGATCGATCAGGAGGGCCTCTAGTATGGACGATGATGACATTGCCAAATTTGCAAGCTTGATCCCACTGGACTGCATGCACTCAATGCTGGTTGAAATTGCAAAGAGGATGCTGGAGGACTCGTTTGACAACGATGTTCAGTTTTTTGTGTCTGAATTTTGATGTTAAGATTTAAGATCAATTCAGTCATCATTATTGTAAGTAATAGTACACTTTGAAATAAGGCTTGATCATAGAAGCAAAGATAGGTAGTGTTTGCACTCATGTTCCATGCACCATAGTCGTACCCATACTGTACCCCAGGGGACTGGACCCTGTACCGTGTACCCTGTACCCTGTACCGTGTACCCTGCACCTTGTACCCAGTATATGAACCAGTACACATCCTATACCACGTCTGTGTGAAGTGCTGTGGAGGCTGGACTTGTTTCAGAAGACCAACGACCCAGAGAAGCTTCTGCTAGGCATCCCAGATCACTTGTGGAAACCAGAGATCCTGAGGACAAGAGTCGCTGACACATAATATAAAAAATTTTAAATAACTTTATAAACTATATAATTTGTGATTTGTAATGTCATTTAACAAGATTTGGGGTGTCCAGCAATCCGGCATCAATGTCACTTATTGGCAATTATTGCCAATGCCAATAACTGACAGCTGCCTTTGCTACCGGGCAAAGAAAAGCAACGCCTGGCAGGACTCTTTCAGAACCAGTGTCAAAGGTCACGCTTGACGATCTCAGCGCGAGCACAGGCCTTGCCAGCAAGTTTCTTGTGGACATCCAACGCTTTTTGGCGTGCAGAAAGGTTGCAGTTCAAGAGCATTTGGTGACCCCGTCGATGGGCAATGAGATCAAGCTCATAGTTGCCAAAAGCAAAGGCCTTCACACCTCGCACTAATTTGATGTTCCGCTCCAACAATGCTTTGAGGCCTGGTACTGGAGTGAAAGTGTGTTTCAATTTGCCTCAAGGGCTGTTGAGTTTTTCTTTTTTCGGGGCATTGGTTTTCTTGACAACAGGCGGGATGTGATTGCCACCTAGTGTTTGAAATCCTCCAACTTTTCTGTCCTTTTTCAGGAGCCTGTGGAACTCTGTTGTGGACATCGGCAAGCAGCAGGTGACTTTGAAGCAAGCTTCCGGTCTGGCAAGCAAGCTCATTCCAGCCCAGTCCCGATTGCTTGAGTTCTTGGAGAAGAATTCTGAGAGTGGCAACCTGGACATGCAACAACTCCAGCCTTTGATTGAGAAGTGCAAGTCGACTCAGGATGTGCTTGATGCTTTGGCCAGTTCTGATGAGGACACAGACATCAGGACCAAGGTTTCAGATGGAACGCAAGCCATCACAAGCTTTGTGGTCAGCCAGGACTGGTTGAACCTTCCACTGAGTGACATCCTCATCGAGCTCTTCAAGGAGAAGTCGTCGCTCAAACTGCAGATGGAAGAGTCCCGAGTGACTCAAATGAAGAAGGCAGTGTGCGCAGGCCGGTTCTGTTTCGTTACCTTGGGAGGAGAGTTGTTTTTGCTCTCCTTTGTCTGAAGCGTGGGGTCAGGAGTCATGGAGTCAGAGTCATGGGCCGTGAAAGGTTCGGAACATCTAGCAGTCTCGATTGATGCAGTGATGATGCAGTCAAAAAACACAGCTCTCAGCTCATTGCTAAACCAAGCAGTTCCCTTGATAGGTGATGTCCGTGCTACTCTGAACAAGGGTCAGTGCAATGCCTCTGACATTGCGAAGTGCTCCATCCTGAAGATCCTCCTGGAGTGGCGTCCAGCTAGTCTCACAGAGGAGCCTTTGTTGGAGAAGTGCTGTAGTTGGGTGTTGCACTTGACATTGAAGCCAGACTGGCTTGATGCAGCAACCTCAGCGTTCCGTGAAGCGGAGGCTTTGATCTCTACAGCTGGGCAGAAGTGGGCATCTCAACACTGGGCAAACTCTGGCTCAGAAGAAGTTGCTGTGGTCTTGGGTGCATGCCCATACTTGCCGTCTCAGTTGCAAGACATCTTGGTTCTTGCAAAACACTCAAGCTTGCTCCAGAACATCCCAGAGGTAAAGCTCTTCTTGAAAGAGGAGGATCAAGTGAAGGACTTTGGATGGCTTGTGAAGTACACCAAGAAATGGCTCAGCCTCAAGACAATGGACATGGACTCCATTGCCACTTACTTTGACCCAGCAACAGTCGACAAAGTCAAACGCTTCATGAGTCATGAGTGATGTTGAGACACACCTCTCCGACATTGTGTCAACGGCCATGAAGGCTAAGGATGACATTGCCAGTATGGTGGACAAGCACAGGCCAGGGACTGGGACGGTGAAATTGTTACTCACAGGACTCCATGACTCCGGGCCACATTTAATTTTTTCAGTGTAGTGGCTTTGTTGTCATCGTCACTGGTTTCAGCCAAACTTGAACAGGCCTTTGCTCCCAGCTGTTGACGCGTGGGCCATGACTGACGTGCAGTGGATGTACACTGGCGCAGATGTTGTGGACTCTGACTGTACCAAATTGGTGGAATGGAGGCAAAAAGCACATGCCTTGGAGGACTTTTTGCAGAGCGTTCTCAGCGTCCACAAGTTTGATGGCTGGAAGGAGGACAAGCTGCGATCCAAACTTGCTGAGATGCACAAGACCCTTCAGGACTGAGTTGGGTCCAAGTGTCTATCATCTGTCAGTTTCATCAAGGATTTGGGTTAGGGCCACAGGCATTGGTGGCTGTTGGGTTGGGTCCACTGGATCAAGTTCTTTTAAAATCACAGCAATCCCAAGACCTCCATAATTTAAATTTGATTTTGGACATGTGAGGACGTTCGCAAAGAGATTGGCTACATTTGCAGCTCACTCTTGGTGGGGGAGTTGATTGTCACCTCAGATTCATATCCAGATCGGGTGACAGCTGCACGGAAGGCTTGCACGGCTTTGGTGAAGGAGTTGGGAATGACCAGGACAGACTTGAGGCCTATGCTGCAAACCAAGCTCACCGAGTTCATTCAGGATGAGAACAATGCTGGAGAGTACTTCGACAAGAACTGGGAGTTGGAGTGAAGGGGGTCTGGGTTTGGGTTTGTGGAGGGAGATTTACATGTTGACTGACTGACAGACATATTTCCTTCTAGCTGATTTCTCCCTGGTTGGAATACCTTTTCATTCATTTACGCCAGGATTCAGGATGTTTTGTGGTAGTTGTGTGCTGTTGAAATGGGTTGAGGGATTTGTGGCTTTGGTACAGGCAAGTGCCTCAAGGGACTGCGGGGTGGGTAATTGTTTTGGCTGAGGCTGGGAAAGAAGCAGAAAAGGGGCAAAGCTCAGACTTCCAAAGAGCCGAAGAGTAAGGCAAAGGCAAAGGCCGTGTCGCGGCAGTAGAGACTGAATTTTCCAAAGCTCTACCTAGCGGCTTGAATCTTGAATTTTGATTCGAGCCTCGCCTTCCAGGCTGGGGAAAGCATGGGGGGATAGAGAGGCTCAAATGAACATGAGACCAGCAAAGACGCAACTCAGCAGTCAGCTCGCAGCTTCAAAAAAGAGTATTTATGTATGCGGCATGCGGCATGCGGTTTTTGCGAGGGAACTCAGCGTGCTGTGAGTGCATCTTATCAGATTCTTAGAATCCCAAAGACATATTCCAGGATCATTTCAAGATTATTTTGAGAATAGTCCAGGACTATCTTAGGAATAGTCCAGGATAGTTTAGGAATAGTCCAGGATAGTTTAGGAATAGTCCAGGAATAGGTCTAGGAATAGTCCAGGATAGTCCCAGGCCTCAACAGATAAAGAGGCCTAGGCAGACCCTAAGGATTGTTCAAGTAATTATTGTTGAAATGGTATGGTAACAATACTGGAAAAATGAACACATCAAAAAAAGCCGGATGGGCGACTCGACATTGAATAGTAATTCTCTTGCGGATGGTGGTGGAATGAGAAAAGGATTCTCTTGCTCCGCTTGTCTCAAGTGTGTTTTTGATGGCGTCAGTATTTGGCAAAAAAGAATTTTGCTGGTTTCCTTCAGCTCATACTCGGTCGGTCATCGCAAAAAAAGAATTATCATGAATTGCCGCAGCTTACCGGCGTGCAGTTGCTTCAAACAAATTCACTTGCCATGGGCCTTGGGGTAAAGTGTGCAAGGGATATAAGACATGCTGTTTTGTCTTGGGGGCAGCTGAAGCACGTGGGCATACTCAGTCAGAAATGCTCACGGCGAGGCGTGTGACAGTGAATCAGTTTCGCGACATTGTGATTTGTCAGCGCGTTAGTGAAAACGAAGCTTTTTGGCCTTGCCCGCTATGGCCACCAGATGTACAGGAGTCTCTCGGATGTCGGTTGCTGCTAGTTTGGCAGTGTTTTGTATCCGGGGTTTGTTCGGTCTTGTCAGCCGTTGTTTGTTCGATCAATATTGCTGAGAGTATTGGACTGACATTTTGCGCGTACTGTAAGTAGGACACAGTAGGACAATGAACTTATGATCGCTACACTGCTCGTTTTGCTCGCAAAAAAATGCACCAGGTGGTAGATCCGGGCATGTGAAAACAATCCCATGCTGCTATAAGTGTTCACAGTGTAATTATGCTGGTAACGAAAAGGCTGGTGAGAATCTGATGCATGCCGCACGCCCTGGCGAGGTACACATCCACTTACCAAAACCATATGACACCGATTTTGACCATGACCTTGCAGAACCTTTTTTGCAAGGAGGTGGTGTGGCCAAGTAAAGCCACCATGACGAACCAGGTTCGAACTTATATACGCGCATGAATTTCATGCGCCAAGGAATTGGCGAACTATGCAACCCATGACCTGCACGTGTGCCTTGGCTGCAACAGGGTCTGCATTGTTGTTAAAGACGGGCTTCAAGGAAGCCTCCTCCAAGGCAAGAACCGCACTTCAGCATGTTGGTGAGTGGCGACCCTTGGTCACATCATTTGTGTATGCGAAGAAATATTAATATATAAATATACTGTAGTGTGTTTCAAGAACGCGACCCTCTTCGCCGGATGGAACTCCTTGTCTCTTTTGCCAAAAAGTCCTGCCTCGGTTTGATTCCCTCCTTTTGCCGTCTCGCGGCCTGGCCTTCACTTTGCGCATGTGTTCTTGGGGTTCCGCCTGTCACAGTTCAAACTATTCATGGGTTTTCAGATTACAAGTGTATGCCAAGCTATGCTGTCACATTTTGATTGTGCTTGCGTGCTTTTGGTGTGATGGGGGTTCGGGGTTCGATGAAAGCAGCGCAGCAGTCTGCGTCAGAAGAACGCACAAATTTAAATGCTCTCTGCTGCGCTTTCTTTTTGGTGGGCTGCACTGGCAGTGTTTGCGCCCAACTACCTGAGTTTCTACTCAGCTGTATGACTTGTCTCGAACCCATTTTTCACCAACAGCAAAGCTTAGGGTTCTTCAGCCATAGTAAAGACTTCCTGAGCAGATCGGAGCAGGTCCCGCAGGAGCAGGTTCCCGAGCACGTTCCAGAGGAGGCAGACAAGGTTCCGGTTCCGGATCAAGTTCTGGAGCAAGTTCGGAACAAGTTCGGGAGCAGGTTCCGGAGCAAATTCTGTAGCAAGTTCCGGAACAGGTAGCAGGTTCCGGAGCAGGTTCTGGAGGAGGCTCCGCAGCAAATTCTGGACCAGGTTCCAGAGTGTTCCCCCCAGCAGTTGCTAGGTTGAGGTGCCGGAGCGGAGGTGGCCACCTTGCAGATACGGTGTGTCTCTCTGAGGTGCACTGTCACGCTGATATGCTTGTGGGATCTTGTGGGGTCAGGCTGAGATTTTGTCATGCTGGCGTGCCGGCATGGATCACACTAAGAGCCTGACATGCTGACGCATGAGATTGATGCTGAAGTCGGATCATGCCGTCGTGCTGTCTTGCTGGCAGGCTCCAGAGCAGTTTCCGGAACATGTTTGCTGGTTCTTGCTTGTAGTGGCGGTGTCGTGCTTGCACATATGTTTGCGGGCACATGACATATGCTGTGCCTGCCTATGCCGCATTGGTATGCTCGCCTGGCACATTTAAAGGGCTCACTCTTTTGAAGGCAGCATTGTCTGGCAAAGATGCGACACTTGTTTGTGAACTGGCGACGGCGCCATTGCCTAGCAGGCGGATTTTGATGTCCAGCTGTTGGGGACTTTTCTTGGGCTTATTTGTTCCAGATGTGGACATCAAGGAGCTTGCTAACGACGCTTCCTGGTGCAATTTTCCTTTCGTGCTTTTTGCTTTGCACTCCTCAAGGTGAAGCGCTTTGAGGTGCGCATGGCCAAGAGACGCTTCAATTGCATTGAAGCGAGGAGCTATTTCCGGCTTCAGCGTGCTTCGCCCCCACAAACAGCCATGCCAACTGGCTGCATATAGAGCGCAATCAAAAGGATGGAAAAATGAAATGGATGCAATGACGAGTGATAGCCTGAGTGTCCCACGTTCGAGGTTGAAAATTTTGCGGGTAAGCCACTATGGCTCGGTGGAAGAAGCTTTGACGATTGAAGGCGTAGACAAAATACTGCCAGGGACCACAACGTTGGCAGCAGGTTCGGAGTGGCAGCATTTTCTGACGCATGCGTATGCGTGGCAATGGCTGTCCTCGAAAAAGTATTTTGCTAGCCCAAGCAGTTTTTCACGAGTGACCATTTTACTGTCGATCTTGTGGTCTTGCCAGTCAGCCATGGCCCCCCAGAATGCTTAAAGGTTGTTCTGTTGTTCACTTTTAATCCAAGCCTTTTCACCAGATAGCGAAGCTATGGGGTTCTTACTTCAAATAACAATGAGTTGCCCGTGCGCGCTTTCGAGGCAGGTTGCTGGAGACAGGTTGCTGGCGCCGGTGCTGGTGCTGGGTGCCGGGTGCCGGTGCTGGCGCTGTGAGCTGGCTGTGCACGTGGTGGAGACATGCTGGTGCTGGTGCCGGGCGCCAGTGCTGGTGCTGGGTGCTGTGCTGGTGCGGTGCTGGTGCTGGGTGCCGGGTGCAGGTGCTGGTGCTGGTGGTTGCTAGCGCCCGCACTAGTGCTGGGTGCCGGTGCTGGTGCTGTAGGCTGGCTGTGCGCGTGGTGGAGACAGGTTGCTGGTGCCGGCGCTGGTGCTGGGGTGGTGGTGCTGGTGCTGTACGTGGTGGCTGGTGCTGGGTGCTGGTGCTGGTGCTGGTGCCGGTGCTGGTATACTGGTGCCGGGTGCCGGTGCTGGTGCTGTGAGCTGGCTGCGCACGTGGTGGAGACAGGTTGCTGGTGCCGGTGCTGGTGGTGGGTGCCGGGTGCCGGGGCTGGCGCTGGTGCTATGAGCTGGCTGCGCACGTGGTGGAGACAGGTTGCTAGTGCTGGGTGGGTGCCGGGTGCCGGGCGCTGGTGCTGTGAGCTGGCTGTGCGCGTGGTGGAGACAGGTTGCTGGTGTGGGTGCCGGGGGCCGGTGCTGCTTCTGGTGCTGTGAGCTGGCTGTGCACGTGGTGGAGACAGGTTGCTGGCGCTGGTGCTGGTGCTGGCGCTGTGACGTGGCGCTGGTGCTGTGACTGTGCGCGTTGGCTGGCTGGTGCTGTGAGCTGGCTCTGCGTGTGGTGGTGTTGGGTGCTGGCTGTGCGCGTGGGAGACTGTTGGGCGCCGGGCTTGCGCTGAGGTACCGGTTCTGGGTGCTGGTGCTGGGTGCCGTGAGCTGGCGCGCCGGTGTTCGGTGCTGGCGCCCGCTTCTGACAGTGAAGTGATAACAACCGCCGCTTCGGACAGTGAAGGGTGGCAAACCGCCGCTTATAGCAGTGAAGGGCGACCAACCGCCGCTTCTGACAGTGAAGTGCCAGCTGTCATGGGCCGCTTCCAGCTCCACAGATGCTCCGCGTACTAAAGTTGTACTACGGCAGTTCTCAGCTTCCAGCGCCACAGATTGCTCCGCGTGCTAAAGTTGTACTACAAAGTCGCCAGTTCTCAGCTTCCAGCTCCCCAGGTTCCTCCGCGTACTACAGTTGTACTACAAAGTCGCCAGTTCTCAACCCCACCTCGCCAGATTACTCCGCGTACTGAAGTTGTACTACAAAGTCGCCAGTTCTCAGCTTCCAGCTCGCCAGATGCTAGTCGCGCTGGATACTGCTTGGCCTTGGGCGAGTGAAGCCTACGGGCTTTGCTGTTTGCGCGCATACTTTTGTGCGCATAAACTTATACGTGTAAGATCATACGTTGTTGTTCCCCAAATAGGGATAGCTATGGGGTTCTTGCTGCAAATAAGAACGAGCTGGCTGCGCGCGCTTGAAGGGTGTCGGTGCTGGTGCTGGTGTTGTGGTCCTGGGTGCTGGTGCTGTGACCTGGGTGAGCGTGCGTTTAAGACGGGCGGCGGCGTTGGTCGGGTGCTGGCGCCGCTGCCGGTGTTGTCAGCTGGCAAAGTGCGCCGGCGCTGGTGTCAGCTGACTGCGCGCGCTGTGGAGGCGCCGTAAGCTGGCTGTGCAGGCTGCGTACAAGAATGCCAGTCGCATGTCAACAGGTCGTCGGATTCTGCCTGGCAACAGGTCGTCGGATTCTGCCTGGCTATCTGGGTCTATGCTGGTGTAATTTTATTCATATCCTGGGGCTCGGTCTCATAAAACTATGTTCTGAGTGTACTGGTTGTTTAAGAGGCTAGTAAAGATGTATCATACTGTTCACATGAATGAGATTTGTTATGTGATGGCGTGGCGTTTCTATCACGTGAACATCTTCTTCACATCAACCACTACCCCTTCTTATTTCGTTGCTTTGCGTGTTTAGGATTTCTGGAAGTATGTGCAAAGGCATTCCAAAGAATTTCAAGCATGCCACTTGACCCTGCTTTGGAGGTCTCAGCACGTTTCAGCAGCTTTATGGTGCTTCAGACATGAGCCAAGGCATGCAAGCAACGAAACAAGCACAGTCAGACGGCGCGAATTCATGCTTTCTCCAGGTGTTGTAGTTTTCGAGCTTGAGCCAACAGAGAAGGGTGCTCAGGCCGTGTGGGCGGGACACGCTTTGCCACTCTGCAGTTGCTTTGTTGAAGTATATAGTAGATGTTTTGAGGAGGGTGTTGAGATATTTCCACGGTTGGTTAACAGTCTTCACAAAGCTAGACATGCGGAGATCATAGTCTAGACACAGCAAACTATCGAGCCTCATGTCAGGCTCGGCGAGCAACCACGCTGCCCATTTTGCACAGCACTGCATCAGTGTCTACGAAGCAGAAGGTGCAGGAACAGCTGCGAGTTCAAGCTGAATGGCGCTACCCTACCAGCGCCAAGGAGACAGCCTTGCCCAAGACTGCAAGATTCTGTAACACACATGTCAAACAGGACAAAATTTGCATAATTGATTTGTTTTGTTTTGACTTGACGGGCTTTTCTTGGGCATTATCCATCCGCCGCCACAGGGATGTGGGGAACTGAAACTTGAAGCGCGGTGGGACACATTCCTCGGTGAGGTGAGACCAAGTTGGTGCCTGGGCGCATGAACTAGAGTTGAGTTGAAAAGAATTATGTCCAGACTTCAAGTGACCTTCCACACCTTCCACTCAACTTGATGCTAAATCCTAAGTCCTGGGCAGCACAGCTTGCTTGTTGTGCAATGCATACATCAGTGAGCCTTCACTGATACCCTTTGTTTGCGTGTAATCCAGTTGGTGTTGTTGGTGCCGTTCGGGATATTTGGTTGCTGTTTCAGTGTCGGTGCTGATGCACATGTCGGTGTCGGTGTTGTTTGTTGATTGTTGCGCAGGAGTTGGGGTTAGCGTTGGCGACGTGGTCATTGTTGTTGTTGTTGTTGTTGCGGCTGCTGCTGCTGCTGCTGCTGCTTTTGTTGTCGTGGTGGCGATGGTGATAGTGATGGTGATGGTGCTGGTGGTGGTGGTGGTGGTCAGGATAAATGCCGAGCCAGATTCTTGCGTAGCCAATCGGCAGCGTCTGGAATCACTGTCCTGCATCAGCATCATGCTTCCAGAATTGGAGTCGCGCTTCCAAAATCCGCAGTCAGAATCAAACTCCCAAGGGCTGATGCAAATTCGTCCAAAATCAAGTTCTGGGTTGACTTCCTCCCAGGAATTGATCCAACGCATGCACATGTTTTGATGGTGTCCCGGTCGTGTTGTGACGGTGTCCCGGTCAT